TTACGAATTTTCGAACATTAGCCACGAATGAATTTGAAAAAAATTTGTACAAATTAATGAATAATGCGGTATTTGGCCAATCCATGGAAAATGTGCACAATCACGTCGATGTGCGGCTTTTAACGAAATGGGAAGATAGATTTGATGCTGAGGCGATGATCGCAAAACCGAATTTTCATAGTCGTAGCGTCTTTTCGGAGAATCTGGTCGCGGTAGAAATGCGCAAACTCGAGGTCAAGTTTAACAAACCAATCTACGTGGGTATGTGTATTCTCGACTGTATGAATTTCATCACGACTACATGCTACCTTCTTTTCAAGAAAAATGTAAAGTAATGTACACCGATACTGATAGTCTAATTTCCCACATCGAATGCGACGATGTTTATGAAATCATGAAGCGTGACATTAGGAAATTTGATACGAGCGATTACGCGGTTGATAATGTGTACGGTATTCCACTCACTAATAAAAAGGTTCCGGGCCTGATGAAAGACGAAAACAATGGTGCAATCATGACCGAATTCGTCGGGCTTAGAGCAAAGATGTATGCCTTGCGTGTTGATGGCAAAAAAGATACAAAAAAGGTAAAAGGTGTCAAGAGTAATGTTGTAGCAAAATCGATAACATTTAACGATTACGTGCGATGTCTGCTGGACGAAACTGAAATGACGCGACAGCAATCTTGCATAAGATCAAAGTTGCACGAACTGTATACGATATCCGCGACGAAGCTCGTTCTAAATCCGTACGATGATAAACGATACATTGAGGCCAATTCTACCGATCATTCTACCCTGCCATGGGGACATTATAAGATACCATTGTAAATGAAAACTCGTATACTTGTAATAAACATATATAGTATATTTGTAATAATCTCATATATTTTTAATAAACATAATATTTTATGCATATAATGAAAAAAACAATTTGTGATATAAATTTATTTTACAACACGTTATCCTTGTGTATCCATGAATTATGTGAATCGTCCAATCCCAACCATTTCACGTATACCTCATTCCCTCTTTTGCGCAAAACTTTTTCGACAAGGTACACGTCGGGATTAGCAACGCGATGCAGTTCGTATTTGTAGAATCCTCCGGCTATGGGATTTCCGCGAGAATCCTCCAAAAGATACGTTGCGGGATTAGTTTTCTGCATCTTGACGATTTTAAACACTTCCGTGGTCCAGTTTGGCGTGTAACCCTTGTCAAAAATTGTCTTGAATTTACTGACGCGTACCGAATCACCCACTTTGAATCGTGCGGGTGCGGCGATCTTTACGCGGTTATACACCGTGGTTAAGAGCTTGTTGGCGATTGCGGGAGTGACGTCGATGGGTCGCATACCGATAGTTCGATGCTTTCGCGCGTTGTATTCAGACATGAGACACGGTAGCAAATCGATCCATCTATAGTTTCCATTGTGTGTAAACTGCTTCCACATGTTGTTTTTCAACGTACGGTTGAACCGCTCGACGACTAATGCTTTCATTACGGAATATGTAGAATAGTGATTGATGTTATGTTTCTTTAAGAGATTCTGTACGTTGACGTTATAAAATTCCTTTCCCCTATCAGTCTGTAAATTTTTCGGGCATCTTCCATCGTGTCGAATTATCTTTGCGATTGCTTTAGTCATCTCACTTCCGCTTTTGGTCTTGACAGGTACGGTCCATGCATGCTTACTCAGCACATCGATAACGATGAGAATGTAGTGGTAACCTCTGTTGAATCGCGTGTAAGGACGCATCTCGACCACATCCGCCTGCCACAGGTTATCGTATCCGCAAACTATGACGCGTCTTTGTGAAAAATTTCTTCTCGTGGGAGCGTGCAGTTCCTCGATCAGCTGCTGCTTTTCGAGACTTTTCTATTTAGACATGTTCGAGTCTTTTCTATTCAGCGCGATGACGTGTTTCTTGAATCGATTTTCGAAGCTCGTTAATCAGAATTTGCATATTATTTTGAAACGCGGTAATCTTTTTCTCGATTTCGTCCTGTCGGTCTCTCAAAACTTGCATCGTCTGTTGCATGAAACGTTTGTTGGCGACATCGCTATCATCCACCGGCAGCGCTACACGTCGAATCCTGCGTGACTTTGCGTCAAAGTCGGATGCAACTACGCAAAGAGCGTTATCGCGCACGTAATTTTTGCGTAGTCCACTCAACTGGTAGTACGAACTTGTTCCGCCTATACCGAGCGACGTCCCAAACTTGTTGATAGGCATTTCGATGTTAACTAAATGATTCAGACTGAGCCATCTAATTTATAATAATACCCGCTTCGCGAAGTTCCTCGATAATCGACAGCAATCTCGTTGTCGTGCGCATTGTGACCAGCTTGGCGCGAGGCCTCGAGCAATCGGAGGCGATCCACAAACTCGTTCGGATCGTCCCAATGAATGTACTCAATCTTGCTATTATTTACTGTCATGGTGCGCGGTATACCTTTTCCAATTTTTTTACCGCTTTTCACATCTTCTGGCAACAGGGGCGCGATTATATTCTTATGCTTGTGACCCTTGTTACCCATTATTTGACCCAACACGCTACGATCGCGTTTATACGCGTTTGTAGCTAATAGAATACTCTGATATTTCTGTAGGTCATCGTCATTGTAAACTACTTTATTTGGATAACACATGAAAATCAATTCGTAAAGTCCTTGTGTTCCAGCATAACTTTTCTCATCTATGATTATATTATCGTTTTTATCCAAGGTGATACGTTTGTTGCCGAGCTTCGTTCCCTCGTTGCTAAAATAAACTCCGTAAACGTCTATGTTAACCACTTTTTTACCGCTTAGGATCATCCCCAGATACTTTTGTCCCAAAAGACCATAGTGCATTTGTAGCTTTTCTTGCCCCTTAGATGTTTGCAATTGGTTTCGAACGGATGTTACGAGCGGCTCATTGGCGATTTCGAAAATTTCTTCAACGGAGGGAGCGTACGATTCATCATGCGATGGTAATATTTCAGACACTTCATTCAAAGTAGACGGCACAGTTTTCGAACG